AATGATTCGACCACACGTGAAACACAGCTTTATCTAAATTGTGGTGATACTGCTTTCACAGTGACGCATGGGCACATCTAACGAGAGCTCAACTACAACAAAAACGCAATCATTGCCGTGCCATTGCCAGAGGCGTCGCCTATCGTAGAGTGATTCCTTTTTAACACGTAGCAGGAGGCTTTCGCGACCAATAGTATTCTTAATCGAGGGTGTTGGGTTACATCTCCTGAATGTAAGTATGTCACAAGTGACGACATCACATGTATCCCTCTATTTAAGACCGAAACAGGAGGAGGATTTATCCACAACTCTGGCTGTCGACTGATGATGCTCGTTGTAATTACTGGTGAAACATCGTACTCGAATGGTAAATGTTGTGGGTGTACTCTCCAACACACTAGTAACGAATTGCCATGTTTTATTTACGTGACAAACCTTACTAATTGGCTGTGTCGGGTGGTGGCGGGTTTAACGACACATTTATATTTACGCGATCTAACCACCCCAAAAAAAACCTCTATTATGGATAATGATTCCTCTTCATGGCAGCGTTAACGATGACTACGTGCCTGTTCTTTCTTCCAAGGATTGTAGAATCTGTATAAGCAGGAACACTCACAAAACTCCCGTACTGTTAGCGTCCGTTCCTCGCGATGCGCTGAGCGTGCCGGCGACGGATTCGCAACCGCCCAACGATTCTTTGCGGCACGGAGCCCAACTCCCTAAGATTAAATTAACAGAAGCTGTCCCTGCATTAAGCCCACTTCTGGGTAGGCTGTAACGTGATCGGCAGGCGTCAGACGGGGCATATATTTGACCCAGCCCGCAGAATCCATCCCAGTTTAGCATCCGCATTGGTAGCGTCAGAACCAACACAGTTGTTTTGGAAAGAGTATCCGCTTTGCTGCTTTTTATTTTTGCCATTTCACTGCGGAGGGAATGGACAGCTGCTCGCAGAGAGGCTGTTTGGCGCTGGCCGATATGAAAAAGCCCTCGGGGGGGGGAACCGGAGGCCCAGAGGCAGCAACCTGCTACCTCTGTCATTCTCACGCCTCTTCCTTGCCAGGCCGCCTCGCAGTGATGCGATCGACTGCATTGTCCGGCACTCGGCGTGCGGCACAACGTGGATTATCCCCCCTTCCCAGGAACGAGCGACGGGAACTTTCGCCAGCAAAGTGTTTTTTTTTTCATAGTTTTGTGAGTCAATAATGGTGTGACTACGATAGAGGGAGGTGAGGGAGGGAGATAGAGAGGGTAGGGGAGGGAGGGAGGGAGATAGAGAGGGTAGGGGAGGGAGGGAGATAGAGAGGGGAGGGAGATAGAGGGGGAGGGGAGGGAGATAGAGGAGGGAGGTGAGGAAGGGAGATAGAGGGGGAGGAAGAGGTGAAGAGGAACGGAGAGGAGAGAGTTTGGGAGAGAGTGAAAGGGCATGAAACGAAGAGGCAAGAGAGAGAGCATAATGGGAAGTGGAGCGAGCGCTGGAAAGTGACAATAAGTGGGAGAGAGTATTTAGGGAGAGGCAAGAGAGATTGAGCCAGGAAAGGGATAGTCGGGAATAGGGAGAGCGATTGGTGTTTGGAGAGAGAGAGAGAGACAGGGAGAGAGACAGTGGGGAGAGAAGTGAGTGAGATGCAGTGGACGATAGTCGTTGTGCACTCGTTGATGACCGAGCTGAGATCATTTGCTACACCTGCGAAGCCAGTTGAATTACAGATGGCTGCCTGCATCAGAACCCAAGTACCTTGGCAGTGCCACCACGTGGTACCGGGCCCTTTAATCTACCGAGATGCTTCTTAATAGTTCTTTGAAGCGGCAACAACCTCTCTCTCTGTCCATCCACTCATCCGATCCGTGAATCTCCAAAATCCTTGGTTGCTCTGCCAGCGTGTTAGTTGCAGCATAAAAGCGATTCTCGTGCAAGCAAGCGTGTGCACGCCAGCATGGGGATACGCTCTCACTCGCAGGCGCTCATCATCCACATGCAAAGGAAAGGGTAGATTGCTTTCCACACAACAACATCAACTGCAGCTGTCATTCGCCACTAGGTGGTGGTGACATCTCCACAGTGCTTGTGCTCGGCCAGATTGCACTTTGACGCCACGTGAAGTGTGTGGAAGAAGGCTTCGCTGGCATGAGGCTCATGGGACAGAGCCAGTTGTTGTGGGCTAACTGACTGAGATGACTGACAGATGCACCCACGTGTTCTCCCGGCTGTGCCCACTCGCCGCATTTGAGCTGCCCGGCGCTTTGCTCTTTGCTGCGAGCGTCGTTCCTCTGCCCTCCGTCGTTGTTAAAAGGCAACTGCCCCCAGTAGCGTCCTTCATGAGCCTCAACCACAGAGGCCGATCTTGACACCGCTGGTGCCGGTAATCGGCAAGTCCACTCAGCTCCACATCCCCCTGTACGGCATCACTCCATCTCTTCTCTATCCCATGGCGTGCCTGTTTTAGCCCCCTCGATCCGTCCAAACAGAAGCTGCATAGGCATGCGGTGGCCGGGAATGCGGGCTACATGACCCGGCCAATGCAGCCTCGCCTGCCGGAGGAGCTCACTGTTGCAACTGTTTTCAGAACCTTCAAGGGTCTGTGAGCTCCTCATACAATCCGTCCCGGTTAAACCCCAGACGGATCGTAGACGGGCCTGCCTAAATGTTTTAACCGGCGCACATGTTCCATTTAAAGGGTCCTTGTTACACAACTGTGGCCGGCAAGAGCCACCGTTATGTGGAGTGATAGGTAAGGTAGCTTCCGCACAGCTGAACACATCAGATGGCAAGATAATGCCGCTTGACCGAGCGAGCAGCAATTACCAGATCACCAGCGAAAAATAAGGTCTGACCAACAGGGAGCTATCCGTTGACCACATCCAGACCTCGATCAGCCACCCGTTGTATCTGTACAAGATGGGAATTATTCTGGTACAGCGATGTAAATGTCTGCAATTACGCGAAACTTCCCTTGGCTTCCCACACACATACAAAGACAAAGATCGACCTCATAGCCTTGAACAGTCTGTTGGGGCAAGTGCCTTTGGGCACCTATAAAGGCCGCCACATTCGCTGTGCGTACGTTGATCTGCATTCCACAGTGAAACCAACATATCGGGTTGGTGCAAGCGCAAGGTTTAGAGTGACATGCAACCGTTTTGTTACAAAAGCATCAACGTGTAAATGTAAAGTCACAAATACACGGAGGGCAATGATAGAGGCACGATTTACGTTTGGAGTTTGCGTGTCTCTCTCCCCGTGGTCACGTGGATTTTATCTCCGGCTCCTCCGGGTATTCCCTCCACATTTATAAACGCGCGTTTAGAGCATTTGGCCGCTAGATATTTCCACGTGATGAGCCACTTCGTTAAGGTCGTCTCTCAAAAAGAGCTCTATAGCTCAGTGTGCCTTACCTGGTAAAAATGTAAATAGTTCAGTAAATTTTATAGTTTTAGATAAGCATTAAAAAGACAATGTAATTTGTATTTATTTAATGAACATGCAATCATTATCTCTATCTCGCATCAACCATTCGCATATTCAACTGTTCACGAGTGTCGTGTTGCATTTAAGTGTGAGCTAAATAAATAATAAACGGAACATTAATATTACAAAACGTGGAGTCAAGTTGACGAGAGGTAGCCCTGCGGATCGGTGCGTTGAGAGCTATGGACACGAACGTCAAACACACAAATCCGAGCAGCCACGAGTGATTATTTTGTTGTTGCAAATCGTGACGAGGATTGCCACCCCACGTGCCCCTGCGGGAGGCACTGACAGGGAGAACGGCGACTTTGGGGGAAGTTTTTGGGCGATTCTCGCATTCAGCGCGGTGCCACTGCTAGCTCCCGTTTTCCGTGCGGAAATATATTCATTTTATGGCATGATGCCGAATGGACTGTAATAATACGGTAGTTGGGAGACCAATTAATTGGATGCGTGGCATAATGCGTGCCATATCTGCGTATTGAGGGGATGTTATAATTATTGCTTTTAAAAAGTTGAGGATTACATTGCACAGACAGCATTCGTGTTGTCGTACTGTATCGATTGAGCCTTTATCAGTTCGAGCCTCAAAGTGCCTGTATGGCTGTGTGCATGCAAATACGTTTAATTAACAACATTGATATTCGACTATTCTGCGGAAAGATAATTTTACTACAGCAGCGTTCACAAAATGCAGTGTCCCCCCCCCCGCTGTCAATCTTTGTTTTTTGCTGCGGGAGTTTTTGTCACACTCACTTGGCACGGCTCTTTATCAGAGCCAGACCGTCCGATTATTTAATCAATCGTTGACTCTGCTCGCTGTCCGTTCAGTTACTCGATGACTCTGGTAACACGAAAAGAGCTGTGGAACGAGTCTCACCTCCGTCCCCACGTGCGCCGCTGGACAGGAGGTGATGGGGTGGAGCCTGGTGATGCCATCCATCAGAATGATCAGCCGCGTCACACCTGGGTGTGGCTTGCAGGGGGTTTTCCCTCCTTCAGGATGTGGGAGCCGCCAACATTTTTTGTTAAGGGGGTGCCTGGGTGGTTGAGGTGCCTGAGTGATTGAGTTGATTAATCGATTACTCGACTAATCGTTCAACCTCGAACTGTCGTTGTTGTGTTTTCCATTTTCAACGTAGTTTCTTGACAATATGGGCCAAAAAACACCATCTACCATGGGCAATTTGCCCTACTGGAGATGGAGATTATCATACAGGCTTTTCGCGAAAACATCTTTCAAAAGAGGCACATTTGCCAACGTGGGATTTGGGTCTGTTCCTTCCTGCTCTTGGGCACAGTTTAGAAAACAATTCGAACTTCAACAAATTACTCAAACGTCATCGCTGCTGCAGAGCTTGCGGCCCATCTTCGTCGCCACGTAACGCCCAACATTTCAGTTCAGAATTGAACGAAATCGATCGCATTTTGGAGCATGTTATTGTATCAGCAGATTGAGACCAGGTTGGCAACGCATTTTTTTTCCCCGCGTCTCATTGTCTCCGTTTCTCTCTCATTCCTCCTCCAGCCATTCCGCAGTCGCCCGTGCCCCCCATGCCAGCCCAGAACGTCGTGCAGCAGTCTCAAAGTGGCCCCGTACCGAGCCTGCACGCAATGAACGCGGCCGCGTGTGCCCTGGTGTCACCACAACAGCAGCAGCAGCAGCAACAGCAGCAGCAGCAGAAGCTACAGCTGCGGAGGGTGTTGATGGAAAAGGAGAAGCTGTGGCATCGTCACCAAGAACTCATGCAGCAGGTAAGCGACTCACAGGGCTCTCATCTCCCCATCCTCCCCCTCCTCCCCTCCTCCTCCTCCCCCTCCTCCTCCCTCCTCCCTCCTCCTCCTCCTCCTCCCCCCCCCCCCCCCCTCCTCCCCCCCTCCCTCCTCTTGAACTGAACTCTGAAGCCGCAAAGGCTGCCAAGCGCATAAACCAGAATCCGGAAGCTTTATTCGGACGGGAGGAATCCAATGAGCTGTGAAGCTCTTCGCGTCCGGCAGAACGCGGGGACGGCAATGCCGGACTACAAACGGCGCGACCCGAAAACCTATCGGAGTTTCCGTGCAGCGCGTTTGCCGAAACCCACGCACCGCTGTACAATGGGTGATTGTAAGAAAGATTGGGATGGACGAATCCGCGGATAGTCGGGTCACGGATAAGCGGAGCTTGACCTGTAGTAGGCTATGTATATTAAAATGCACTCTGTACATTAATTGCATAGTTCTACATGTAACAGCCCTGTGCAAATCTACTGCTCGACGAGGGCCCCACCACACCGGTCAATGGGAAGTTGGTCAAAGGAGCATTGAAGTACAGCACAGCAATGGACATTATTGCTGCGCTGCCTCGCCACTGCCCAGGACGTAGTCCCCCCTCCCCGTAGTCTGAGACGCCTGTTGTGCATGGCGGTCACCTATTCAGGCCCCAAAGCTTGCTGAGATTTCCGAGCTATTTTTTTATTTATTTTTACGGCGCATCAATTAAAAAAAAAATCACGAAGATAAAGAGCGTTTGCACAAAAACTTCACCTTCCCGTCCGAGCCCTTTCCTCCGTTGCCTGAACCCGAAACGTGAGGTTACCTAAACGGGGCCCCCGCGGTGTTCAGGCTAAAGCGTGCCTCCCACAAAGGCTCCCCTTTGTGCCACGAGACGGCACACACACACACACCCACGCATGCTCGGGCAGGTGTGGAGTAGCTTCTGGTGCTGCCTTTGCTATGCACAGGACGGTGGCTCTCGAAGCTTTTTTCGTATGGCCCCCCCAACCTCCCCTCCACCCCTGCCCCACCGTGCTAATCGGAGGCGCGGGGGAAGGACAACAATCTAAACCCAACAAGCAGTTCCAAAGAAATTCGTTTTAAATCCTTAAAATGTGTTTTCAATCTAGGATGTGGTGGCGGTGTTGGCTGCGGGAGTGATGGTGGTGGTTGCCTGATGTTGGTGGTGGTGTGGGTATGTATGCATGTATGTTGAACTTCTTTCACACCGTACGTAGCCAACCATGCTAATCGGAGGGGATCAAGAACAGTCAACTCCGCATCATTCGCTCCGTCGCCTCCCTCCCCACTTCATGGCCAGCCTCAAAAACGCACATTTATTCGGTTATGCTACGGATAATAGTAATAACGATGCAATTGATAACGCGCACAGTGTTTCACAGACAAAAATGACCGTGACTCTGAGACGCCGAGTGAAGTTCAGTGTCGCTCGAAAGCCAGGCGAGAGAGGAGGTGGGGCCGCGGTGGCTAGGAGATGTTAACTCCCTCGCCTGGTATGCAGGACGTCGTGGATTCGATCCTGACCCTGACACCTGCTGTATATTTGGAGTTTGCGTGTTCTCCCCATGGTCATGTGGATTTTTTTTCCCCGGGTACTCCGGTTTCTTTCTCCACATTTAGAATCAACGTGCGTTTAGAGTATTCGGCTGCTAAGAATGTCCACGCAACGGGCCACTTCGCTGGGCTATCATCCGTGGCCCAGGTCGCTTCTGAAAACGAGCTCTATGGCTCGGTGGGCCTTACCTGGTAAAATAAAATTAGTTTAGTAGTTTACAATTGCTTATTCTCTTAAAAGTCAGTGCAGATTGAACGCTGCTGCTGCTGCTACTGCGACGGCAGCGAGATGATTGGATTACAAAGCGGCACGGTCTGCCACGGAAAAAAATAAACCGACGCCCGGCAGTGTCCGACGGTCCTGCTCCGTGTCGTAGTGAGGCGGAGGGTTGTGAGTTGCTCTGCTGCTACGGAGAGTTCTCTACCGCGAGCAAGCTGTAGTGCAGGGTTGGCGGGAGAGGGATAGGAATGGACGAGAAGAGAGACGTGGTTTGCGGAGGTGCAGAAGTGCAAACAACAAAGAAGCTCGCTAGAGACATTCGTCAACGACGCTGTGACCTTTCAGGGAAGGGACATTATTCAAAGCACAGAATTAGAGAGGCCAGATATCTAGAGTGGTCACCTGGAGTGGATAATAGACTGCACTTTACACTACGGACACTGAGAAAAAATGACATTTTCAAAATGCTTCCTGATTAACAGGTTTTTTTTTTAAATTGACGTATAAATAGTTCACATTATCACCTGCACGGTATCCAGGCCGCAGCCTGCTCTGCCCCGCCACCAACCTTCAGTTAAAACTACTGGCATAGCAGCTCACAAGCAAGATGTGTTTAACTCTCTCAGTTCGTTGCCCCGGTGGAGTTACGGTACGAAGTTGGTTCGACATTTTTTTAGGTCACTTAGGCTCGTCTCTCAGTCGCGACGACGATAAGTCGTGAGATGCAGGAAATATTGCATTTTTCTCCCAGTCTTGCGTTTAAAAAAAAAATGTACAGTGCTCGACAGAGAGAAAAAAAACTTTGACGGACACAGGCCACTCTTTCCACATTCCTGAGTGCGCGTGTAAGCTGTGGTGGTGGTCGCCGGCCGTGGTTTTGTTGCAGAGGGGAATTGCAAAGGGGCACTTTTTTTGGCTTCAAGCGCTCAGATTTCGCCCCTGCCCTCCCCGCCGTTGCAGTAAGGTTCTGGGTCATCGTTGTTGTGGCGGTGGGGGAAAAAAAACACAACCCCAGAAGAAATATTAACCGCGCGTTTAGTTAATTTTGAACAACGGGTGTTACATTATCCGTCATCTCTCCCTTCTGTCCGCTGGAGGACCGCGCAGGGTGATGGAGATTTTGTTTTAAATGAACAGGCGCATGTTGTGAATCCACTGCTGGATGACGGCCTAGTTAAGGGACCAGCAATTGGGGAATTGACTTCCTTGACGGCGACACATCGCCACCGGCACGCGTACTGAAGCACACGCGTGACGGACGTGTCAGCTTGCCCTACGTCTTAAAATGCCACGCAAATAGGGGGTGGGGGGGGGGGGGGTGTGGGGGAGGCGGGTTATGCGCGTAGAGGGGAAAATACATTTTGTTTGAATATAATAATCATTATAAATGTTAAAATCGTAAATTTTACCCAGGAAAGGCTCAGGAAAAAAAAAACGTGAAGGATTTATCTAGTTTTTTTAGGAGAGTTCTTGCACTGCTGTGGACAAGTAGCAGTGGTTCGTCAGTCAATTGGTGGACAAGTAGCAGCGATTCGTGAGTCAATTGGTGGACAAGTAGCAGCGATTCGTCAGTCAATTGGTGGACAAGTAGCAGTCGTTCGTCAGTCAATTGGTGGACAAGTAGCAGCGATTCGTCAGTCAATTGGTGGACAAGTAGCAGTCGTTCGTCAGTCAATTGGTGGACAAGTAGCAGCTGTTTGTCAGTCAATCGGTGGACAAGTAGCAGCGATTCGTCAGTCAATTGGTGGACAAGTAGCAGCGATTCGTCAGTCAATTGGTGGACAAGTAGCAGCGTTCGTCAGTCAATTGGTGGACAAGTAGCAGCGATTCGTCAGTCAATTGGTGGACAAGTAGCAGCCTGTTCGTCAGTCAATTGGTGGACAAGTAGCAGCTGTTTGTCAGTCAATCGGTGGACAAGTAGCAGCGATTCGTCAGTCAATTGGTGGACAAGTAGCAGCGATTCGTCAGTCAATTGGTGGACAAGTAGCAGCGTTCGTCAGTCAATTGGTGGACAAGTAGCAGCGATTCGTCAGTCAATCGGTGGATGAAGGCCTCTGTAGCACGCTGGACGGGTTGGCGAAGGCGGGGGGGGTGACCATAGATGTACTTGAAGGGCAGTACAACAATGGATTCTCATGCACTGGCCCCCTGCTGTCGAGCATGTCGTCCTCACAGCCTGTGACAACCTGTCTGTGCGCAGTGGCGGTCACCCGTCCAAGCACCGTCCAGGCTCAACGCTGCTTAGCTTCCGAGGTTTGGAGCGATGCGCAAGTTGGCACGTGGATGGGGGCGGGTGTCTTCCTGCGCAAGCGAGCGTGGGCCAGTGTTCAGTGGTGGAAGTTCCCATGGCTGGGCTAATTTACTCGAGGCCATCGCTGTTCACTTCCCGCAACAGCCACGCTTTGAACGAGCCCTGCAGCAGGGCGACGAGCCGAGTCGGGATTTGAACCCGCGGCGTTGTGATCGTTAGTCAATCCCTACAATGTGAGGTGCCACGGTGGCCAGATGTTAACTACATCGCCTGGTGTGCAGGAGGTCGTGGGTTGCATCCCAATCCTGACGCCTGCTGCTGCTGCTGTATATTTGTTGTTTGCACGTCTCCCTGTAGGCCGCGTGGATTATTGTCCGGGCCCTCCGGTTTTAACCTCCTCATTTAGAATCGACACACGTTCAGAGCATTTGGTTTGCTATACGTTTCAACATGATGAACCGCTTAGTTGAGCTACCATTTGTGACCAGGTCGCTTCTGAAAAAGAGCTACATAGCTCAGTGGGCCTTACCTGATACCATAAAAAAGGAAATCGCTAAAACATGGATGTTATCCCGAACTTCTTTTGCCATCGTGCGTATCCGACGATGCTCACTGGAGGTGCGGATGACGTTCCTGGAGACGTCGCTGCAGAGCTCAGTATAGTCGTCATCATAATCATCATCGTCACTAGAGTCATCAATAATTTCATCACCATCATTACCATTACCATCATCATCATCAGCGTCAGCGTCACCGTCACCGTCATCGCCACCGCCGCCACGATCATGAGCGGCAACAGGTGCCGATGTTGTCCATAATTATTGACGGCGATGTCAATGCCGATGCTTCTTCCATTGCTGCTGCTGATGGACAAGACGGTGACAATTATTCTGCTGCTCTGCTGCTGCCGTAATTGACGACCATCGTCGTCGTCATCGTCGTCGTCACAATCACGGTGGACGACGCGTTGTCGTCCGGTTGCCCCACGCAGCCGCTAAAAATCCGCGAGCGCTGTCGGAGAGCGACGGAGTCACCGATGATGAAACCCTACGCCTGACCTGACCCCACTGTGTCTGCAGGAGCTGATGATCCGCGAGGGGGTTCAGCCGATGGCGCAGATGCCCACCAACCCCACGCACAGCCCGGACCCGAGGCCTCTTCCCAGCAGCACCTCGGACCCATTCCTCTCCAGGTGACCCTCCTCATCTCATCGTCGTCGTCGTCGTCAGAATCGGGGTTTTTAAGTTGAGACTGCAGGAGAAATCCCGTGAGCCTCCTTGAGCTCTGTGCTTCACAGATGTCCAGTCTGGGCACACGGGGTCAGCGCAAGGTTACAACGGGAAACGATACAAACGCTGACGACGGGAGTGCAAACAGAGAAACGGGGTAAACCATGTAACGAAATAACTAAGTAAGCGTTTAATTGTACAGTAAAACCTTGGATTGCGAATAACTTGGTCTGCGAGTGTTTTGCAAGACGAGCGAAAATTTGTTTTAAAATAAATATTCATTTGATAAACGAGCGAGGATCTAGCAATACGAGTAGTGTACGTGTACGCTTTGTCTGCCGAGCGGCACGTGATCACAACTGACACACGAGTGCTTTGATATACGAGTGCTTTGGATTACAAACACGTTTCCGGAACGAATTATGCTCGCAATCCAAGGTTTTACTTTAGAAGTGCAAATTAATGGAGCTTGGGCAACGAATAGAAAAAAACGAAACAGTCCCAGACCACACCAAGACCACACGCAGTCCCCCATTGAAAATGGCAGATTAACACTGAACTATCGATACATGGGTAAGGATCAAATTACAAATCGCATTTGCAAATGTGATTGCTGTATCCGGCACTAATCTTCTGCTGCAGGATATAATGACCGTCGTTTAACATTTATAAACCGCTGCAACGACCGGCTACATCTTGAGCAGCCAGAGAAAAGAAACCCAGCGATTGAGATAATTCCTTCCACGTGAAGGGTTTGCAGGCCCAAGTTCGGACGCTCCGAAACAATGTGAGATAGACAATCCGCACAATAAACAAGATAACTAAATCGACAAGCGAAGACACGATTGGGTCTCCGCTCGTAATTGGCGCCGAACCACCCGAGTTGTTAAAATAACCGTCTTGCATTTTGTCCTAAATTGACGAACTCTGGGTGCATTCGTTACGATCGCTGGGCAAGCTGTTCCACGACTTTGGTGCCAAAAGCCACCAAATGGCATTATCCTTAATTTCATCTGACGTACCTTTAACAACAACAACAAAACACCCCTCCATCACTCGGGTTTCTGTGAAAGAGAACGCAGTGTCAGGGGCTGACTGCACAATGCCTGTCAGCCCCTTTCCATACTTAACAGTGGCTCAAGTGGCACTGAAGGTTTTTCTCGTCAAAGGGGTTGCCACAAATATTGGGAAACTACGGTGTCGTAACGTAGAAGATCTAAAGGTAAACCTGGCATCCGCGTTGCTAAATTTTGTTGTTGCCGTGATTATCTGAATGATGTTATTCCCTCGAAATTTTTAAGAAATTCGAAGTCGATCATTACATTTGTAAAAGCTATAAACCGTTACATTAGTGCTTTGCGAAATGTTTTTTTGGAGCAATTGACAGCAAGGTGATGATCTCGTATCTCGCGGAATTGTATTTTTAGTGTGGCTGAGAGCCTGTTATTTGTTCAAAGCGTGATAGACTGTCATAATTACAAAGGTTTGTAATTGGTAAACGGCAGTTGACCTTTTGAGTGATCATTGAATAACATTGTGTTTGTACAGCATTAACTGTGGTGTGTGTGTACAAGCCTTTAGTGTGTGTGTGTACAAGTCTGTGTGTGTACAAGCCTATGTGTGTGTGTACAAACCTGTGTGTGTGTACAAACCTATGTGTGTGTGTACAAACCTGTGTGTGTACAAGTCTGTGTGTGTACAAGCCTATGTGTGTGTGTGTACAAACCTGTGTGTGTGTACAAACCTATGTGTGTGTGTACAAACCTGTGTGTGTACAAGTCTGTGTGTGTACAAGCCTATGTGTGTGTACAAACCTGTATGTGTGTACAAACCTATGTGTGTGTACAAACCTGTGTGTGTACAAGTCTGTGTGTGTACAAGCCTATGTGTGTGTGTACAAGCTTGTGCGTGTGTGTGTCCACGCACTGTGCTTGTGTGTGTGTGTCCACGCTTGTGCGTGTGTGTGTCCATGCGCTGTGTGTGTCCACGCACTGTGTGTGTATCCATACACGGCCACCACCAGTGACGATTATCTGAACCGGTCCTGGGCCTCTCCTAGGTCGACTCAGCCGTAAACGAGCATCTGGCGCAGTGTTATTTCACAGATGGCGATATATATTCTTGGTTCTTTCGGTAAAGTCACGTAGAAGGGAAACAATAAAATCATAAATCATTTCGGGTCGTAATTGATTGTTCACGCTTACGGTGGCTTTCAGACCGCATCCATTATTATCGTCTCCCCCCTCCTCTTTTCCGAACATAGATGGACTTGTCCATCTGAATAACTGCCAAATCGCTCTCCGTGGTGCTAACGTTAAAAAACCTTCACTTTTTCAAACTTTCTTGCTGTGGGTTTCACACCTGATGATGATTGCTTGTGTTGCAGTCGAAACGTCGTGAGAATTTGATTGTTTTATATTTTTATTATTTCATTGTTTCCCTTCTACGCGACTTTACCGAAAGAACCAAGAATATGAATCCCTGCAGTCACGAAAGCTTTAAATCAAAAGATGGCGAAATGTTTCACAGATGGTTCTGTTCTGCCAGTAGGGATAAATATCGCAATATAGATTCCCAATCGAGCAATTTGCGAACAATCTTTATCATACTTTTTTGGACCATGACACCGGCGACAAACCATCACGGCCCACTTTTCGTGTGCATTTCGCCGGGGGAACTTCATCACCGTGAAGCAGACGGGGCCGTGTTTGCACAGTTCATACCCTCCGCCCCACCACCACCACCACCGCAGTGATAAGCGGGGTGGCCCTCTCGCTTCGAACCTCTCCAACAAGACGCAAACTCCCGCTCGGCCGTGTTGTAGCGTCCCGACAACGCCCCTCCCGGACGTCTGCGAGAAAAGAGCTTTCGATACTCTTTGGTTCTTTCGGTAAAGTCACGTTGGTATAAAATAAAATAAATCACGACGTTTCGATCGCAACACAAGCGGTCGTCCTCAGGCGGTGGAACAGCAGTTCCACTGCTGGGTTATAATTCTTCGCGCTTGTGTCGCGCCCGAAACGTCGCGATTCATTTCATTCTCTACCTGCGTGACTTTTACCGAAAGGACCAAATAGCATGGATTCCTGCAGTAACGACAGCTTCAAATCGAGGGCTCTCTAGCTCATCGGATTTCCTCCGGTATGAATAGATACTGCGACTCTGCCGCTAACCATCCCGAATTTGTGAACGCAGCAATGGGCCGTTCCACTCGCGGGAGGCGAGCGCCGACAGTGGCCTCGGCATGGGCAACTACAGCCTCTCCCGCACGCCGGAGGAGCTGCTCAGCAGCCTGGATGAGATGGACACAGGTGAGGTAGCACAGCGGCGCTGCCCGTCGCCGCCGTCGCCCCCAGCAGCGTCGTCACCCTGCGACTGCGACGCTGACGACGAACACCGTTTTGATCGTCGTCGTTGGCAGCAGCGGTCATCGTCGTATTCATCGTTTATCGTCGTCGCCGTCGTCAGCAGCAGCAATGGAAGCATCGCCGTTGACGTCGACATAATTGTCAATGTCAACATCAGTATCTGTTGGCGCTCATGATCATGGCCGTGGTGATGATGATGATGGTGACGCTGATGATGATAATGATGTTGATGAAATTATTGATGACTTTAGCGGTGGTGATGACGACTCTTGTCGCTGATGATGATGATGATGATGCCACTGGTGACGTGTATGATAATGATTTTGATGATGATGATGATACTGCTGGTGACACATTGGTGTGACTATTCGTGCTTCTGATAATGATGTTGATGTTAATTACGAATGATTGTGATTTTGATGATGATGACAATAATAATAATAATACTCCTGGTGGCACTGTTAATGTTGATGATGATGATAATGCCGCTGTTGGCAAAAACGATGGTAATCATAATGACAATTCTCCCGGTGACACTGATGATGATGATCTAACTGTGGGGGCCGTCCATAAATTACGTCACGCACCTGGGGGGGGGGGGGGAGGTCAGACATTTGTGACGATGTGTGACGAGAGGGGGGGGGGGGGTTGAGAAATGTGACGTCACATCAAAATGCGCAACTTTAAATAAATATGGACAACACGTTCTACTTAATTAAATAGACTTTTTAAATAAATGTTTTCTCCTACAACATCAGAGTGCAGCGCCACATTAAATACGCACTACAATGACAATAGTTTAAAGCGATTTGAAGCATGTTTTTTTTTTGGGGGGGGGGGGGAGGGGCAGAGCTTTGTGACGTCATATTTGAGGGTGGGTCTGACTTTTTGTGACGCCGTGTGACGAAGAGAGAGGGAGGGAGGGGGGGGGGGGGTCAAAAATCGTCCAAAATCTCGTGACGTCATTTATGGACGGCCCCTTAGCACTAACGATGTTGCCCTGTCTGTAGGTGCGGCTCCTGTCCCATGCCCTGGCAGCCACTTTGGTGCTCCCTCCATGGGCCAGCCGACAGCCGGGAATCCGGCTCCGTGTGCTGTGAGCAGCCAGCAGTCCATGGCCACTCCGTGTGCCATGCCCTCTCAGCAGTCCATGTCGGGACCGTGTTCCATGTCTGCTCACCACCCATCCAGTGGTGAGACAATAAAAAACGATGCCATGCACCGTGTGCCTTTGTCGATGATTGTTTGTACGCGTAGCAGTATGGGCAGCGGTAGCGTAGCGGTTAGCGCTACGCTACCGCTACGAACCCGGCGACCCGGGTTCGATTCCTGCTCACGGTCAACACCCGTGACGTTTGTCTGAACCGGTCCTGGGCTTCCCCTAGGTCGACTCAGCCTCAAATGAGTACCTGGTGCGGTGTGTAAAACTTGCCACTGGGGAGACAAAGGCGGCCGGGCGTGGTGCTGGCCACCCACCGCCTCGTGTACCGTGCCGGCCTTCATAGGTGCTCGCTAACAGCACTTGCCCCTACAGTCTGTTGAGGCCATATGGGGGATATTTGTCTTTGTAGCAGTAGCGGTTAGCCCACCCCACTCCCCCTGTGCTACAAAGCCGGCGACCCCCATTGCTATCCACAACCAATAACGTTGACAAATATACGAGCCAGTCTTCTGGGCCTCCCCTAGGTCGACTCAGCCATAAACGAGTACCTGATGAGGTGTGTAAACATCAGCACTCGGGAGGCAATGGGTATCGGGCGTGGTGCCGGCCACCCACCCCCTCGTGTGCTGTGGTGGCCTTCATAGGTGCTGCTCGCGAGCACCACTTGTCCCCCAACAGTATATCCATACACTTCACAAAATAACCATTCAGTGGCGACCTTGTGGACAATTTTAATTAAAACGAATAGTACAGCGTCTCCTTCGGATATCTGAATCTCCACGCAAAAGATCAAAGTGTTTTTTTTTCCGCTTCCCCTTCGCCACACGGCTTTCTGTTCGTACAACTTAGCGGCGTTGGGTCAATGCATGCAAATTCGGGAGCGGTTTCAGCATTCAGTGTCTCATCGGCAGAATCGGCCTCGTCTCAACCAATGTTGGTGAACTGACAATTATTTACAGGCAAGGACCTTTTCTGAAAAACAAACCATTCTTAGTTCAGTGCAAAACCTCTGTAATGCACAAAAGTTGCGGAAGGCGTTCATAACTAAATAAAAAACAAAACAGCTCAATCTCCTTATTTAACGTACACACCGTCCATCCCTGTCAGCGTATCGTCCGGCACGATGTCCGACGTTTTGTTCCACGTTCTGCAACCTTCTTTTTTGAACCTGAAAAGCTCCCAGCACGTGCAAGAAAAACGTCGGACGCTGTGCCGAACGAAACACGTGATTGCCCCACGCGCGGGGGGGGGGGGGGGGGTGAAGTAGCGGCACCAGCGGCTGGCACTCTCCGGCCCCATCGCCTGCATTTGATTCCCGGCTGTGACCGACTATGAGTAGGAGGAAAAATATGCGAACCGTTCCTTGTGGGGAGAGCCGTGGAGGGTCGGGCCCACGCCGACCTACGAGCCGAAGCAATTACCGGAGCTGCATCTTTGCCCTTCCGTTTCCCAGGTGCCCACTCGGGCCCAGGCTTGGTCTTCCCGGACCTGCTGGAGCCCGAGTCGATGGCGATGGACAGCGACGAGCTGGTGGCGAGCCTGAGCGACTCCCTCGTGCCCGAGATCCTGGGCGACGTCGAGGCCGTCCTGGGATCGGTGGCCTCGCACGGCAACCGAGACAGCCGCATCACCTGGCTCTGACGGTGACATTGCGGGGAGACAGCCTCATCACCTGGCTGTGACGGTGAGAGGAGACAGCCGCATCACCTGGCTCTGACAGTGACATTGCGGGGAGACAGCCTCATCACCTGGCTGTGACGGTGAGAGGAGACAGCCTCATCACCTGGCGGTGACGGTGAGGGGAGACAGCCTCATCACCTGGCTGTGACGGTGAGAGGAGACAGCCTCATCACCTGGCTGTGACGGTGAGAGCAGACAGCCTCATCACCTGGCTGTGACAGTGAGAGGAGACAGCCTCATCACCTGGCTGTGACGGTAGGAGGAGACAGCCTCATCACCTGGCTGTGACGGTAGGAGGAGACAGCCTCATCACCTGGCTGTGTCGGTGAGAGCAGACAGCCTCATCACCTGGCTGTGACGGTGACGGTGCTAGGAGATGCAAACCGCCAAGCGACGGTGATAACAAAAACAAACAGCCCTACCTTGTGGTTATTTGGGGGGAGGGGGGGGTTTGCGGCCTTCCAGAAGATAAAGATGAAGAACCCTGCTCCAAACCAACAACAACAGCAACCTACATTGGTGGGGGCAACACACGCGTGTGTGTGTGTGGGTACAAGTGGTAAACAAAAAAGGATTCTGGATGTTGATTCGATTCTGAGGCATGTGCGTGCCAGGTCTGAAAGTGACTGCAGACCTTTCGCAAATGGAATTGAAATGTCGTTTTTTCTTTGTCAACCACCGTTAACCGATTTGCATGAATTGCTTTTGACGGGGACTTCATAAGCCACCCTCTGTAAACGAAACGAATAGCAAAGGGACAACCAGCCGGGACTTTTTTTATTTGTCCTCTACGTGTTCAGGCAGTAAGTAAACATGAATAGATTCTTACGCTCACGAAGCATGCACAAAACAATGCTCTTGGGTGCACATTATTCCCATTTTATAAAAATTATATGGCAAACGTTGCCTGCTACTGAATCGCCCGGAATTCGTTTAGCCTCATGGCCGAACGCAAGATAAGCAAGCGGTGGGCCTGGATGATGCTCGGATGGGTGACCACCACGCATCAAACATGTGTTGCGAGCAGGTGACACTGCAGCAACAATATATCGTTGTGGTGTTCTTCTATGCCACTCTGTCTATGCTCCCAGCCCTCCGGCCAGCACGATGTAAGGTCAAATAACTCCCACGACCTCCACGGCATGGGGAGACCATGCACACGGACGCACGGCACTTGCTAATGCCACCTTTAGGCTGATGGGGCGAGCAAGGGTGTTGTGAAGAGAACGAGGGCAGAACGAAGGGGAAGCGGTACGAACGAGGCAGTGTAAAGGATGCGACAAGAACATCGGCGAAAGATTCTCGTAAGGAACGGCGAAACCACCCCCCCCCCCACCCCAACATACGACGGCCGTGTTCGTGAAATCTCGGGGGACGGTGGAGTTCAAGGGTTACGTGCCGACACCATGAAATGTAATGGAGATCGTGACCGATGCGGTGGTATAAATATTGCCAGAGGAGTGTCAAACTATCGTTGTGAGTGCATTATACATGGCGATCCGTTTATAGATACCCGACCAATATAATAGGAAGACGTTACTGAGAAAACAACATTCTATTCCAAGGCCTCTCTGGGCGTTCCACCAATCACAACGCAGATAATAATATATAATTTTAAAAAATAACACTGCTTAAGACACTATGTCCAACATAGCCACTGTGATTTGCTTACAAACCTTACAACATTCAATGACACTATCAGCTTTGTCAGTGAGTGGGGCTTTGTCATGGGGACTATGTCAGGCGAACAGGTGAGCTAACCCAATTGTTCCTCCTCGGCCAATCCGCAACACAGACGTCGCTCGTAACCAATCACGCCTGGCATGAGACCAGGTTGAATAGACATCAGTGGGGTCTCTATGAATGGATCACCCTGTGATTATAATTGCAGTAGCCTGGTCCAACAGCCAAACTCCGGCGTTCTCAATGACCTTACGACCTGTTGTGCTTGACAGTTACGTGTGATAATAGGGAAAGCTTACAGGCAGGGTATAAAAGCTAGCCCTATACATACGCGTGTGTGTGTGTGTGTAAGCTGTTCGTGGTTATTAGCGCGCTGCGCTACGAACCCGGCAACGCGAGTTCGATGCCTGCTCATGGCCAACACTGGTGACGATTATCTGAACCGTTCCTGGGCCTCTCCTAGATCGACTTTAATGAGTGCCTGGTGTGGTGTGTAAACATCGCCACTGGGGAGACAAATGCGGCCAGACGTGGTGCTGGCCACCCACCCCCTCGTGCGCTGTGGTGGCGTTCGTAGGTGCTGCTCGCTAAATGCACTCGCCCCAAAAGTCTGTGAAGGCTACACGAGGGAGTGTTGTGTGTTGTGTAAGCCGGCGCTGGATTTGAATGAGGCTACACGTATTTGGCTTTCTCAGAATCCTGCATTATAAATCCATGAGAAATCCATATTCGTTTAACATTTATCATTTGTGTAATCCTCGGAGAAGTACAAAACCAGGCAGCAGAGTAGCAATACAGACCTGTATATGTCTTACTTGAATTAGATGCCATAGAACTGCCGTGCTTTATTACCGTAATTTAGATCATCGTTATCTTCATCATATCCATCGTGACAGTCAGCAACATTCTCATCCCTTGGATGAAAATACAATACATCACTTACGGCAGTGCATAAGTGTGGCAATGGTTACCACGGAAAGCATCGGTGAATCCAAAGGCTAAGTTTCTTGCGGGTTCTGCTTTGTAATGGTTGGTCAATTCCCCCTTGTTTGAGTCCTACTACGGCGTAGGCGTTCGTGGTTGTGCCGTATCGCTCTCTCGGGTTGGCACTGTGCGCGTTTTGTTCGGCACAATATCCGACGCATCTCTGCACGTGCTGGGAGCTTTTCAGGTTCCTAAAGAAGGTCCCAGAACGTGGGGCAAAACGTCGGACGTCGTGCACACCGGACAACACGCCGTACAAGATGGATGGTGTGTGCATTGAATAAGGAGATTGAGACGTTATACGCCTTTTTGAATACCGCTTTTCATTGCATTTTAAAACACATTTTCTCAAACTATATTAGACGAATATTTTTCGCGGTGCATTCACGGCGCGGCAACATTAACGCACACACACTTCTTTGCTGTTTGTAATATCACCCGGCTTATTTTTGCAACCTTCCATTACATCGACACGTAAATGCAGAACCGCGGACGGAGGCCGTGCCGTTGGTAAATCTACGGCAACCCTTCTGCCATATCACATCTGGACAGAATATCGAAGCGCCTGCTGAGCCACAGCGGGGCAACACCGCCACGATTTGGCGGACCATTTCGCATTGTCCGTGGCGTCTCCGGAGGACACTGGGCGATGTAAATACGAGAAAGTGGCACGACCGCCAATTGGTCACCGATCAGACAGGATGTGCCCGCAGCATGGACGAAAGCAAGTGTGGTGTAATTTGTGGGTTGATCCGCCGTGTTGATTCATTGCCGATCGAGCCACGGATCGAGTAATGACGTGGGCACTAGCCCCCACCCACCCCACCCCCCCCCCCTTCATTCGATTGACTAACATCAGCGAGATCGGCGATTCCGTCACAGTTCACATTTTGTTGTTACCACGGCGCCGCATTTTTTTTAGTTTTCTCTTCGCACGCGTTACGCAGCGTTACCTCGGACACAAGGGAACCCGCATTGGCAGCATCGTCGAAGGCCGCACATACGGCCGTGGTTAAGGCGCACTCGGCCTCAACGGCAAAGGCGCAGCACTGCAATTGCTTGCTCTCGCCACCGCTGGAGAAAAGGATTTCCACTAGACCCCCCCCCCCTCCCCATACTCGCGCCTAGAGGGCATTTGGCCTACTCTTCCACGTTGGCCAGACTTCTTTAAAGAGTTGGAAGTACCCATCGTAAACGGTCGGCCTGCACGATTACAAAATGCACAATTCATTGCATGCCTGCTTAACGTATGGTAGGTTTTATATATATTAGATAGAAAAGATGAGTGTCTGTAAAATAATGATTTGTTCCTTGAGCCTATTTATTGGCTTTTTGGATCAATGTTATCCCAGCAGCATTTGTTTAAGCAGGCAAAGTCAACAAGTAGCTGCTTTAAATCATTGATCAAGAGAGCCCACAGGCTGAGAGAGCAAATCCTCATTGTATGTATTTGAAATGATATAAAGGTCCTGATGGTTGCACATTATAGTGTTGAATGTTTTTGGGATTCACTCATGAATATGTACACGTAACAAAAGCATCCTTTGCGTTAAATTAATATAAAAAAGTGCAAAATACAGGTATACATTTTAAAAGATCCAACTGACAACACTTTAAAATGTATTTTCTTCATTCGTCGGATTATTATTTAAACCAATTGTTTTCACGCATTTTTAATCCATGAACACAAAAAAACTAAAAACGTCGGTCGAGTGTAAAGGATACTTTTATTGAGTGGAATAGATTTCTATTTTATGTTATATATAAACATGATTAGTATACTGTACCCACACACGTATTTACACTCACACATACATGTACACATACGTACATACACGCGTAGAAAATATAAGATGTTTTGTTATTTTTCCTTGTTAACTGGTTGGTCAGAGAAGACGCAGAGGTGATAGGAATAACTAAGAACATACGGAGTAACCTGTGCCAAATGAACATGCATTTTACGACTGTTACATTAATGATCAAAAGTCAAAGCGCCTCATTGGGCACACGAGCCTGAGTTGGTTTTCATCTCTGTTGGCAGCCTTCGCTCAAATTCCACATTCCTATGGTGGGTGCCAGTCATTCGTGAGAACAACCACTGCCGACTTCCCACAAAAGTGGCACTCAAATTTAATTGACTCCAGAGGAATGATGGTTAAACAGCGAGAGCGGAGTTCTCGAACAACTGCAGGGCCACCTGCCCAGCTGCATCGTAAATTGCTCTTAAAATGCCATTGTCTCTACGTTTCTATAAATTTGTCGCAAAAAAAAAAACATGGTGCTAAGCATTGATAGCTTGCAATCTAGTCCTGTCGATCAGAGATGCTGACAAAAACAGTTGCTGTCACCATATTACTCTATGTTAGGGTTGCCACCTGAGGTGCGGACACTTGGGATGCATCGTGGGAATATGACTATCTCACGATGTATGTAGTATGTATGTTGAACTTCTTTAGTACCGTACGTAGCCAGCTGTGCTCATCAGAGGTGCGGGGGAAGGACAACAAACTAAACACAAAACACGGTTCTAAAGAAATTAGTTATCAATATAGTTTTAAAAGTGTCATAGCTCCAGTGGGCTTCCTTATATAGGGAAAAAAGATCGTTCCAGACGGCCGCAGTAGGGCACGATACCGGAATAGGGGAGAACTGCATGTAAATGCGTTGTCTTGAGTGTTAAATTATTCCGTAATGGACATAAACCAGGACTTTTAATGTTCCCAGAAAGAGGGACAGATTTTCCAGGACAGCAGCTGCGTCAGCAGGAGAACGATCCTGGGATGATCAGGACAGGTGGAGACCCTCCTCGGGAATGGGGAGATTTGGTCTCAAGAGTTTTGGGAATTATATATTACCACGTACGTGATAATCAGAGTTTCATCATGAGCTGATAATGGATTTTTTTTTGTATCGATGCCAAAAAATTTTGCATATTCTTTTTTACTGACCGTGGTTTGATAACGATTTAATACAAAGCATTGTGCGACAAGTTATAATGCATCTTTTAAATGAATGAAAAGCAAACAGCTGATATAGCATTCTGTGTACCCTATTTTCCCATAATGCTTTAACAAAAATGTGCTGGTATGATTTGCAGTTGTATGAGCATATGAACCAAGAATATGTGAGCATCTGGTTCCCAGAAATTGTTTTATTTACATGCAGAACACTTAGAAATGTGTGTATTCAAAAGTAATCTGATCAGAGCTTTGCTGATTGGATTTGTGGTGGTAAGTCAGTTGTGTTTTGAGTTGTACTTTTAAAAAAAAGCTTCGCTTCGAAAGAAAGTGTTACTACCGAGATCTGCATGATTTCACATTACTCGTGGGGTGATCATTGTTCGAACATATTCTGTTAATTGATGGGAAAATTAGAGAACATGTATGACAGCTTGAGTTTCCAACTCAGCTTGATGTGTTGTTACGTTAAAAAAATATCCATTTAAAAAAAGTTTTTAATGAAAGTAATTTATTTTTTACAAAACTTCCGTTCACAAGCCCGTTTTGATGCCTCATGTCCTGTCTGTGATGAACTGGGTGAACACCATAAAGCATAACGAAGTGATGCTTGGTCAAAATAAGTGCCTGAACGGTTAATAAATATGC